GAACTCAGATACATTTTTCGCTGGAATGTAAATGGAGCAGCACCTTTGGCAGTTCCCAAAAAAAAGTTAAAGTGCTTGGCAGTTCCTGAAAAAGTTAAACATAGAGTTACCCTATGACCCAGCAATTTCACTCCTAGGTATACACCCAAAAGAACTGAAAACATGTCCACACAAAGACCTGTACAGGGATTTTTATAGCAGTATTATTTATAACAGCCAAAAAATGGAACCCCAATTTCATCAACTGCTATAAAAAGTTTACAGTTTGAATGAAGCTTCAGAAACAGAAAAACCAAACAAATATTTTATATCTCAATAGAGAGAATATTTCTATCACCAAAGGGAGGTTTGAATAGCAATGATTCTAAAACATGACTGCTTCCTAGATGAAAAGTAGGGATTTCTCTAAGCACCAATCTGAAATTTTACATACCATGTCTGAAATGGGAAGGAATGAAACATTAAGTCATCATTGCTTTTACTTTAAACACACAGACTATGAGACAGGCAGTTATTCAATTAAGGTTAAACGAGAAAGAAATTCTTTTTTTTTTTAAAGATTTTATTTTTCCTTTTTCTCCCCAAAGCCCCCTGGTACATAGTGTATGTTTTCAGTTGTGGGTCCTTCTAGTTGTGGCATGTGGGACGCCGCCTCAGCATGGCCTGATGAGCGGTGCCATGTCTGCACCCAGGATTCGAACCGGCGAAACCCTGGGCCGTTGCAGCGGAGCATGCAAACTTAATCACTGGGCCATGGGGCCGGCCCTGAGAAAGAAATTCTTTAAAGAAATTTTGGCACTGAATGACCTATACTGAATGGTGGTTGTTTTTCTATTCTCCCTCCTTCTTTGTTAAGTTCTTAAAAATCTTTAACAGTTGCTTCATCAGTAAAGATCTTATGTAGATATTAATTTTTCTTTGGAAAGTCCATATTTTGGAATATCAGGATTTCCTAGATCAGGGAGCACACACAGTAAAAACCATAGGTTCTGGAGTCAGGTTTGGCTTAACAGCTGAGAGGCTCTAAGCCTCAAGCACATTATTACGCTAAATTCCAATTTCCTCTTCTATATGTTACACAGTAGTTCTTATATCTTTATGCCTTTCCGTTCCTCCCAGATTCTCAAATTAGTTATAGCAGGGTTAGTGGTTCTGCATTAAATGTTTTCATTATTAAAATTACGTAAATATTGTTACTGCTACATCAAGTGGTATACTGTGATTATTTCAATACTGTTTAATAAGTGTTCAAAATACCTGTATATTTTGTACTATAATTTCGCAGCAGTATAATCTGTCACAAGGCATAAGTTAGAAAGGGAGGAAAAAAGGAGTCATTTGTGTGTCACTAACCAAAACATGCCTGATTGCAGACCCATTATAACCTGAAATATAACTGCCACACCTGGGAGAGCCAAAAAAAAAAAGAGAACCAGAATGATGAATGGGAGGCTAACTGTGAAAAACTAGATAATTCAGCTCCTTTTTTACCTCTGCACACATCATAAGAGAACATCCACTGTATTGTGTAAATGGAACACAGGTTTCCCCTAAAATAAGGTCCCATCGTGTAAACTGACGACTGGGAAAGTTATAGGAAGGAATGAAAATACTGCCTTAGATTTTGTATGATCTGTAGATATTAAATCTTATCCTTTGTCTTATAAAGAGTTTCCCCAATCAACTGAAAAAAGGCAGGAAAATTTGCTTAACATCCTATCAAAATCTCATTCTCAGAATTACACAAGCTGGAACAAAATTCTACAACTTAGTCTTTAAACAAAACCATACTTTAAAAAAAACTATAGTGTGATATAACAAAATATATGCTATCTGAACAAAACTAGACACTCAGAGTAAATAAAAAAATCTGGGCCAGCCCCAGTGGCCTGGTCGTTAAGTTTGGCATGCTCCATTTTGGCGGCCCAGGTTCAGTTCGCAGTTCCTGGGTGTGGACCTACACTTCTCTGTTATCAGCCACTCTGCGCTGGCAGCCCATATACTGAAAAATAGAGGAAGATTGGCACAGATGTTAGCTCAGGGTGAATCTTCCTTAGCAAAAATAAATAAAAATAAAAAAATCTAAATTTAAATGAAAATTGAGTGGTTAAGAAATTTAAATGATTGATTACATATAAGGATTAAAACAGTCAAGTGTTTTATGTTCTCTCCAAAAACTGAAAAGTGGCCCAATGCCTTATCTTAACTCACAAAGCAGCTGTTCATTTCTCACCCAGTTCTACCTGACCTGAAACATGCTTGGCTTAGGACAGCTTGGGAAGTAGGATGAATGCAAAATCTTTAAAGTAGGGGTCTTCATACAAGAGTAAAACCAGATAAATATCTCATTTTACACAAACGAGAATATTAATCCTAAGGTATGACTTTCTCCTTCTAGACTTTCTTCCCAGTCTGTGTTTTTGTTCCTTTCATAAATATTCCAAATATCCTTGAAGATAGTACTATTTAAATATACAACATTAAGTTAATATACCCCAACTTTTGGTCACTTTTTACTGAACTTCCTCTTCCACAAGTAAGCTTGTTTGGTTTTTGTATTCTTCTGGTGACCTGTGGTGACATTATATTTTCTGGAAATTATTTTTTTAAGAAAGCAATTTATTGTACTAAGGCATAGTTTGTTCAGTTTAACACAGAAGGGACTTGAAAATCTAGTAAGAGAAGAAACTAGAGGATACAGGAGGATAGTAGTGAAATAATAAAATTTAATCATTAACCAATGGAATGAAGCACTTATGGGAGCCACCAAGGGACAAAATTGTGGCTTAACTGACACTTTGGGGAGTGAATATTTTTGTTCTCTAGGCCTTTAAAATTTAATCAGAAATAATTTATTTTGTACCAAAATAAACAAACAAACAAAAGGTCAAAGCAAACTCACAAAACAGTGGAACTTCCCTGCCCCTCTCTCCCTCCTCTAAAATATCTTATACGGAACGCCAAAGTAAAAAGGCCATGCAGTTCTAGTCAAAGGGAGCCCTCTGCAAAACCTGAGTATTTCTTAGACACAACATGAAAAACGTTCAAGCAAAGGAGTCCATGAAGCATTAAAAACAAACAAAACCTTGATACTGGCATATGAGAAAATAAATTATGTTTTTCAATTACGTTGCCACCACTTTCATCATGAGCCAAAAAATAAAGACTACAGATTAGTCTGAGGGGGGAAAAAACCCAGTAACATTCCTTCTACACTACCAAACCAACATTTAACAATAAGGCTCCACTGTCTGCAATTTAAACTTTATATCACCCATGAAAATCTTTACAAATTAATAAGAGAAACTCACTTTTCTCTAGAAATACACAGACAAGAATAAGTACCTCCCTTCTGAATAGCTTTTTTCCATTGTCAAAGAGTCTGGAAAGTAAAAACTGTAAGTAAAAGAATAACACATACTTGTACTTTTTCATCTAAAAAACAGACTTCTGTAATCCTGAACCAAACAAAAAAACACTTTTTTAAATAAGAATCAGTGAAATTAGAAAACTGGATACTTGATAATATTTAAGAAGTCACTGTTAATATTCCTTAGGCTTGATAATAACGTTGTGGTTATTTTTTCCATCAAGCATTTATCTTTCAGATACACTTAAAGGACTTAACACCTGAAGGGATTCTGAGATTTGCTTTAAAATATCCAGCAGGTGGACAAAACAGGATTGGTCACGTGATAACAACGGTTGAAGCTGGGCAATGGGTACATGAAGCTTTATTACCTATATATTTTTTTTTTATATGGTTGGGGGAAAAAAGTATCCTATGCATCAAAAAAATCCTGTCAAAAGTAGAGAAATTTTTGTCCCATTAAATCACCCAGAATTCTGCTTATTTTTTTTATCTGTTTTGATTAACAAGTTCTATTCTTCAAACCAATTAACTTCCTCCAGTAGACCTCTAGCTGAAATACAAGATTCACCTTGGTGCCTTTTAACTCCACTCGGCAGCTAGGTGAGTGCCAGGTGAGGAAATGATCCAGGATTCCAACGTATAATTAGTGATCTTATTTAAACTTCAAGACCACATATCCGTTTTTTGAGTGAGAATGATGAACTGGCACAGGTTGTTATTTATGCTTTTCGTTTTTTGAATTTACCTTACTCTCCGTCTAGTATTTGAACTAAGTTTGGTGAGTAGTACACCAACGTGAAAAGTAACAGATGTTGTCCACTGCCGGGAAGTAAACTATTTCAATGAGAAGGGTAACTCAATCGAATGTGACACACAAATATTCCAAAAATCTCGAGAGTACGTAACTCTACATCCACCCTTACACTCCCTCCCCGCCAAAGCCTTTTTTAAGAGGTTAGAAAAGAGCAACCTTGGTTGGTTTCATCTCCTCCTTTCTTAGGGGAGGTGCTAGCGAGTAAAGAAATGACCAAAAGACAGGCCGGAAGAAAGCAAGCGAAAAGCGTGGAGTCCAGACCATCAGCCCCTAAATAACTGAGAACTGTATCCAAATTGTAGAAACTTACGTGGGAGTTAGCTATTCAACACCCCCCGGTAACGCCGACGTACCCGAGCGGCTCAGAGGGAAAAACCTGGCTCTGGGTACACCACATTCGAACTCCCTTCTCTCCAAGTATTCGTGCGTACAGAGGCATAAAAAGAACTCTTTCTGACCCTCGCCGACAGAACCGCCGCAAAACAACAGCCACCCGTCAAGGCCAGGCTGGCCGGGCAGCCCGAGGCCCGCGTCCCTCCCCGCGGGGCCGGGAACCCTAAAACAACCGTCCCGCTCCTCAGGCCGGGGACCCCTCTTTCTCCAGGCCGGGCGAGGGGAAGCGGTGGGACTGAGTCTCGGTTCGGAGAACTCGCCCCGCCGAGGCCCTCCGCGCCCGCCGCCCACTCTGCGCCCAGGCCCGGAGCCCCGCGGGGCCGGTCGGATGCCTCGACCCCGGTCCATCCCGCGCCGGCGGGACCCACACGACCCACCGAGCCGCACCGGCCGCCGCCGTGCGGACCCAGCCACTGCTACCTGTCTTCGCTCTTGTTTTTCTGCTTCTTCCCCATCGCGTGACAGCGGCGCTCGTGGCCCCAGCCCCTCCACTCGGTCTCTCACAGACCCACTGTCCCCCGGCCGACTCTGGGCCCCCTTCGGCTTCGTCCCCACGGCGCTGCCGCCTCTCGCACCCGGCTCTCCACAGACCCGCGCACTGAGACAGGGCACATATGGTGTGAACTCTCAATGCGCAAGCGCATCGCCCCGCCGCCTCGGCGTGGGGACGCAGGGCGCGGCTCATCGAGAGCCGCGCTTCGTGTAGAGCGTCTCCAGTTGACCCGCCCTTCAGGCGGGAGCCCGAGCGCCCCCTTCCCGCAAGCGTCCGCTGCGCACCGACGCCCGCGCGGTTTCCAGGTTCTAGAACCCGGAGGTGAACAATGAAGCTGAAGATACCCCACGACAGCCCCTCCCTACCGGGGGACGCAGACTTGGGGGTTTGGAGGTCGGTTCAGAAGTAAACCTTCCACCTTTCAACCTCTGTACCTTGGTATTCTCAGAGGCACGAAGTTCAGTAAAGAACCCCAGTGGACCAATGACGAACGCCCTCGGTGTTCCCAAGAGAGATGAATCCAGGACAAAATGAGGCCTCTCAGTAACGTCCATGAATGATGAAGTATGCACAGTGACACACACACACACACACACACAAAACCATAAAACAAGAACACACCCATTAACTCCCCCAAATAGATCTTAATCTTTGCATTCAAAGTGACAGTAAGTTCCAAAAATTTGTGTTAGGGAAGTCACGAGGGACCTACTAGGGTGGCGAAAATCTATATCTGGATCTGGACGGTGACATTACAGGTGTTAACTATGTAAAAACTAGCCATGCTGTATAAGTTACGCTTCAACTCTTTAAAAAAGGTAAGTGTTCAATAAACAGAATGGAAAAGAAGTTGGCACGTCACTCGAGCGAGATCGCAGATGTCTCATTTCTGACGTAACATTACGTGTACTGAGAGTCAGCCTAAAAAAGTCTGACAACTCCGGGCTGAGCACTACGAAACTACCACTCCCAGCATACTTTGCCCGCTTGCCCGCTCCGCAGTTCACCGGAGAGAGGCAAAGGATCAGAAAGCTGGGGTTCCGGCCTGGGGACGGGGGTGGGGAGGCGCAGGCGCAGAAGCGCTCGCCACACGCCCTCCCTCCCCCCCCCCCGCCCCCACCGCCGCCTTCCTCGGGCGTCCCAGGTTGTATCGCGTGAGGGCCGCAGCCAATAAGGAGGCGGAAGTGACGGACCGGTTCGCCGCCAGCGGCAGCTGCTACGAGGCTGAAGGCGGAGTGGACTGGTGTTCTGGAGGTACTGGTTCCCCACTTTTCAGGTATCACCGAGAGCTCAGGTGAGGCAGAGGGCAGTGTAAAAAGACCAGCCACCGCTTCCCGGTGCTAGTGGACACACCGCCACTCAGCATCCGGCCGGGGCGGGGGAGGGGCGCGGCCGAGGCGCGGGTGTCACTGACGCGGGGGAGGCTTTGGCGCATGCGCCCCGGGCGGCGTTGAAGCGGGGCTGCCTGAACTCTGCCCTCGTTTGTCCCTGGGGGCTCAGGGAGTGGCTGGGATGCTTTTGGGAAGGTACCTGAGGTGCAGTTAAGGATAAGGCTCCTTGGTTGTTTTGACGGCCGCACGTAGAGGCATCAAGGAAATGGTTAGGTAATTTAAGAACAAGTCCCTTTCCAACGTTCCGTTTGAACTGAAAAAGGGAAGAGTCAGAGGCTTGTGGTTTGAAGAATGAAAAGTTATCAGGATCCTACACCATCACCTTTGCCCTTTCTGAGTGTGGTGAACGCCACCACCTGCCCCCAGAACAGCTCTTGTTAATCGCTTCTGCTCAGCATTAAATTCTGGGCTCATGCTATAAAACTCCAGGGATAGGCATCAGCTATGCCCCTAGTAAGAACAGGTTCTGATGTGCAAGTCATTGTTTAATATCCGGTTTTCTGCCTCATCCAGCACCTGTACAGAGGGTCACAGTCCTACTAACATTTTTCTTGGGAGGTAGAGCGTGTGAAATTCTTACTGTGTTTGAAATATTTAAAATTTAAATATTTCTTTAAAAATATTTTAAAGAAGTATTTAAAAGCTTTAAAATTTTGTAGCATTTAAGAGGAACTTACTATTTGGTTTTTTAAAGTCAGAAGTACTTTTGAAACTTAAAGTTTTGGGACAAAACTTTGAAACTTAAGCTAGGCACGTGTTTATTCAATGTTCAGTATTTTTTGAGCACCTGCTGCGTTCCAAGCACTGCTAGTTCTGAGGGTACAAAGGTGAAATCAAGTATGCTTTTCAACTGGTTTTCCTGCGAAGAAAAAGGAATCAGAAGTGAAGTTTGCAACAAGACTATTTCTCTTCGATTCTACATTTATAGAGCGTCTGTATGGGCCAGACTGTGTCAAAAGCTGGGTGAATGAGTTCACAGTTTATTCAGATTTTTTAAAGTGCTTCAGTAGTATTTGCAGATATATCATAGTTAATTGAGATGCAGCAGCCTCCTGCTTTGACAGGCAAGCTATAATTCATGTTTCTGTGGTAATAACCCAGGGGTACACGTAAAATTGCCATCTGATTGTTGCTGGTAGAAAGTAATAGTTTTCTTTAAAAATATATAATTGAGATCAATCTTCCTTTCTAATCTGAATTAGATTCTGTTTTTAAAGTCGTATTTTACATAGAGGAGTGGTGAAAAAAATCAATATTCTTTTTAATGTTTAGAGTGTTAAATTGTTTTACATCAAAGTCAAGAACACTGATTGTCAGTAAGTCAATACCAATATCAGTCTTTGTGGCCTCGTGGATTTTGTTAGGTAATCGGAGAACAGGAATGGAAACTAAAGCTTAGGCAACATGAGGCGCTGTTCTTTACATAAATTGTAATAACCTCTTTTAGGAGTTCAAGAAATGAAAATCATTTAGGCAGAGACCAGGAAAAATACATCTTTTACTCAACTCTGCTCTTTACTGAAGCCAAGTTTGCTACGTGTATGTTTGTGTAAAATCTCACTGCAGTTAAACTTTGCCATTGTTCACAGTCGTTTCTGCTTTACTTCCCCTTGGTAGGGAATGCTGATGGTCAGTGTATGCCACTAAGTGTGACTGCACCTACTCATTTCTCTCTGGTCTGGTGATGGTGTTAAAGACTTGTCTTTGTTTTAGTGTAGTAAAACGCACACTAGGTCAGAAGCACCTAAACTTTGCTCTAAGTAGTTGCTGAGTGGTGTAACTATAACCTATTGAAAATTAAATTGGAAAAACACTTAATTAAAAATTCTGAAGCGTAACATGAAGTGCTTGGTTGTCAGCAGAACTCTTTGTGGACTACAAATTACACTTGCTAGAATTTTTGAAAATAAGAGAGAAAATTTTACTTAGTGTTTGTACTTTTTTCCCCCTAACTTTATAAACCTTCTCCCCAGCACCAAGGCTGAACCGTACCATTTAGAAAAATGGAAGCTAATGCATCTGTTGACATGTTTTCAAAAGTCTTGGAGAATCAGTTGCTTCAGACTACCAAACTAGTGGAAGAACATTTGGATTCTGAAATTCAGAAACTGGATCAGATGGACGAAGATGAATTGGAACGCCTCAAAGAAAAGAGACTTGAGGCACTAAGGAAAGCTCAACAGCAGAAACAAGTAACCTCTCTGCCCTGCTTTCTGAAATTGCTATAACAGTATGCTCCTAACAACTTATATATATGTGTGCTGCAGTAGTTACATTTCAATCCTCATTTTTAGGGTGTTTTTGACCTCAAAGTACCTATCATTGTTAAAAATTTGCTCCAGAAAAAGATCAGTTTTAAAGACACTTAGTTAGCCTGATCAGTATGTTAATCCACAGTCAAGTAAGACAAACGTGTGCACAAGATCATTTTCTGAGCTCAGATTTGCATGGTTGAGACAAGAGTGGACTAGGAAGAACGCTAGGAGCAATAGGAGTCAGTGGTTTCCCTTCCAGGTAGTAGTAAAGCCTGTCATACTTTAGCTGTGCTCAAAGCAAACTGGAAAAGAGCTGTAAGGCAACTTACATTAAAGAAAGTTTTACTTCAGTCGTTTTCAATGCAATGTTTAATTATGTGGCTTATTTATTCAAAAGAATGCATGCTGTGTCACAAAGAAAGGTGGCCACAGCTCTATGCTTATTGGTTTCTTAGAGTGTAAGTGTGTAACGGACTTGTAGACTCTGATCAAAGCCAACTGGGTTAAATTCTGCAAATTGAATTTTGATTAAAAAATGTTTCCATTGGTTTAAGTTACATTGAAATACATTGTCACCAACTCTGGTTCCTCTTCAGTTGGCTGTGAGTAAAGCATAAGCTTTAACTTTTCTGAAGAAACAGGAAATTTTGTTTGTGCTGCTATAGTGTCTCTTTGATAACATTTACACCATCACTGTTTAGAATTGCAACAAAAAAGAATCTTTTAAATGTGACTGAGTTCTAATTTTTATATCTTGAGTTGTCTAAAATGGGGGTGTGTGTGTGTGTGTGTATATATATATATTGTTTTGAATATATATATATATATATAGTTTTGAAACCAGTCTACTTTTCTTAATATAATGGTATTAATTGTTTAAGGTAATATATGATGAGATTCTGCTACAAACTCATATTTCATGATCACAGTTAAGTACACTACTAATTGCTAATGCTAAACCTCTTTTTAAGGTTGTCCTGACTAGGATATTTTTGTAGAAAGACTTTGAATCTACTGGATTTGCATTGAGGGACATACATTAATGTCTTAAATGAAGTTGCAGCAGTTAAAAACAATAGTCTGAATATTTATAATTAAAAACCAACTGAAGCAAGGAGACTTTAGGGCTTTATTAATATACAAGTCAATTTAAAATGAATTTATCATGGAGTAACTCAGAGGGTTTTATTTTAGAGCTTTCATTTGCATTTTAATAGATTTTTTTTATTAAAATGTTTTCTGAAGAAGTAAGTAAGAAGCCTTAATGGTTTTTATAGATGCTCTTTTTGAAAGAGTAATGTAGATGTATAGTAATTCTGATTTTCTGATCCATGAGGGTATTGGGGAAATCAGTGTATGCAGTGATATAAGCATTTAATTGGCCTATGCTAATCAGTATTCCTCAGTCAACCAAACACCCACCTGCTGTTAGAGCAGCTAGAGATGTAGGACTTAAGTATGGAGCAGAAAGACAAGGTGAGAAATAGAAAGAGCCCGCCAGAGGGTTGGGTGATAGCCATGAAGTG